ACGTGTTCTTGCAAAATAAACTCCACCTTTTGGATTCTTGGTACTCTGGGTTAGCGAAAGGTCAATTTTTTAAGCTTTTCACGTGATATAATTTTTTCATTAATGTTAAAATGTCTCAGTTTTGAGTATTCCGACGAAATCAGCACAATCTCATACTTTTCAGCTACTTTTGCGTCAAAAAAGCAATATTTCCCATCTTTCAAAAAGATTCATGTTTTCACGAAAAGGCCAAGGCTATAGTCCATGTTTTACCCCAAATTTTTAAAAAAATTGTTCTCCCCATAATTCAATACAAGAATGCCCTTGATGTAAGACTTTCAAAATGGACGTTCTTTCATAAAATTTCCCAATAGTTATTTCACAATATGATATCAAAATTTCGCATATATTCGCTTTTACTGTTTTTTTTCTTCACTTATATTCTAAACAAAGAAGAGCTTTAAAAATAAGAATAATCAAATAAAATCTCCTAATCAAAAAGGCTATGACGTCTTCTTATAAAATAAACACAGCCTTTTTGATTATTTTTACTCTGGGTTAGCGAAAGTTTAATTTTTTATTCTTGTTTATTTTTCCACGTGACATAATAGTTTTCGTTAATGTTATAATGTGTCAGTTTTAAGTATTCCGACGAAATCAGCACAATCCCATATTTTTCTATTACTTTTGCGTCAAAAAAACAATTTTTCCCAATTTTCATAAAAATTCATATTTTCACCGAAAAGCCAAGGCTATAGTCCATGTTTTTCCCCAAATTTTGAAAATAAAATTGTTTTCCCCCATATTTCAATACAAAGATGCCCTTGATGTAAGACTTTCAAAATGGATATCCTTTCATCAAAATTCCCAATAGTTATTTCACAATATGTTATCAAAATTTCGCATATCTTCGCTTTTACTGTGTTTTTTTTTTCTTCACTTATAATCTTAAAACAAAAGAGTTTTAAAAATAAGAATAATTAAATAAAATCTCATCATCTAAAAGACCATGACGTCTTCTTATAAAATAAACTCCACCTTTTGGATCCTTTTTATTCTGGTTTAGCGAAAGTTAATTTTTTTAGCTTTTCACGTGACTTAATATTTTTCGTTAATGTTATAATGTTTCAGTTTTGAGTATACCGACGAAATCAGCATAATCTTATACTTTTCTAAGTCCCAACAGCTAAGTTTAAAATGGCAAGCACACATAGTGTCTACGTGACAGGAAAGCTGGATGGCCAAAAGTGCAACTTTGTCATAGATTCTCCATCTCAGCAAACCCTTGTGAGTATCAAGGTGCTGGATCACAAAGGTGTATTAGAAGCCACACAGAAGCTTTGTAGTGTGACAGGATATTATGCAAGGTTGTGGGGACCAGAGTGGGTTATTATTGAGCTCATGTGCAATAAAGACAGACACAAAGTATACTTGGCTGACATTGAAGACCAATGCATGCTAGGGTTGGAGTACTTACTACCGAGGAAGTGTGTAGTTAACTTCGATAAAATGACGTTAGAGAACAACAAAGGCCGAATTCCGGTAAGTGTTAAAAGGGAGGTTGAACTAACCAGGTGCCATCAAGCTGAAGTCAAAGTGACTGAAGGAGTTGATGATGGTGAAGGTGAACCAGGTATAGATATTAAAGTAGAGCAGGAGAAAGACCAAGATTTGAAGCCAATAATTGATTTTCTAAAAGCAAGTGTTTTGCACCCTACTTGAGAGGTGTCTAGCTTAAGCCCTGTGACAAAAAACTATTGGGCACAATGGGTCCAGTTGAAGCTTGAAGATGGTATTCTTGTCTGGTGATGGGAAAGTGGCGACCTGGCAAACAGTTATACCAAGAAAGTTACGGGAAGTTGTGCTGCGTCAATCCCATGACAGTTTAACAGGAGGACATCTTGGAGTTAAGAAGACATTGAGTCACCT